TGCCAGGTAAGTCCACTACGGGCTCACCATAGCTCGTGCTACTTGGAATTTTTTGTTCTGAGTAGCTGAATCTAAAACAACAACAGCAGCAAACTAGCATGTGTTCCCCGACCTAAGATCACATTCACTTCAACAAAATCTAACACTTACGGGCTATTCATGCCCGTGTCACCTCTTGGATGGCTTAATCAATCAATCAATCAATCTAGCATGTGTACATCATACCTCTCATATCTCAATCGACTTGAGAATGGTCCAGGACGGACCGAAACGTCGTCGTCCCTTTCAATTTCTAGTGTGTGGTCTGGTCAACATACTTCAGCCACGTTATTGTTACTCATCGCCTGCACCTCTAACTTTCAAAACGTTGACAGGTTTAACGAAACGCACATCGTACCGTCAGACCAAATTAAACCCAACTCACAATCGAGAAAAAATCAAATTAGACTATCAATCTATATATGAGAACAAACCAATTTTAAATTTCAGTATGTTAAAATTTATGACTGCGTCTTGGAAGGACGGCCGCTGATTTAAAGAGCCTAGTGAGAGGACGGGTTGTTTTCCTAGCGGTTATTTACGCATACGATACCTATGAATAAACTCTGGCTTCCTGGTTGCCTGACAGCCCTTTAGCTCTGCTAAACTCTCCGTTGCCTGACAGCTGGGCGGGCAACACTTCGTATTCGTAGTCCTGAGGTTCCGGGTTCGATCTCCAGTGGAGGCGGAGAAAATGGGCAAAATGTTTCTTTCATCCTGATGCCCCTGTTACCTAGCAGTAAATAGGTAGGTACCTGGGAGTTAGACAGCTGCTACGAGCTGCTTCCTGGGGGGGGGGGGTCGAGGACCGGGCCGCGGGGACACTAAGCCCCGAAATCATCTCAAGATAACCCCAAGATAACTTCCTGTGCCCTGACACAATGAATTATTATTACGATTAATGCTGGAATCATTTATTTAAATTCAACACGACACATACTGACGGATAGTACAGAGAATGAAGTGCTTAGAATAAAATTATACTTCTGCAAGAAAGTATTTTGCAGCAACAGAAAAAGTTACTAGCTTGACTGATAGCGTAAGGAGGAAGGAGGAACAAATTAAGAATTTAGTAAAAGGAAATGAGACATGGAAATAAGACAGGCCTTTCTCCTTGTCTCATTGAAATATCTGTCTTCCCTTCATCCTATACTGCTGTACCAGTCTTTGCACTCTTGTTCTAATCCTCATAATTTTACATTTGGCTGGATTAAACTCTAGCAGCCATTTATCAGGCCCCTTCTGGAGTATCCAAATCCGTTTTCACTGCATCACAGTCTATTCCTGCACCGACTCTTCTCATTAGTTTTGCATCATCTGCAAACATTTATATGAAGGAACCAATTTTCTCTGTCAAGTCACTTCCTCATGTTAGTGTGGCAACAATACTAGGAGTAATTTTGTTGTTCCAAGTTCTTAGAGGTTCTATTGCAGGAAATTAAATGTTCTGTTAATTCCACATAACTTATCCCTTAGAATTCCACATTCTAAAAGGTTCTCCAATAATCCTATGTGCACTATTTGCACTTTATACTTGTTCCCAAAGATTTACAGGAATCACTAAGAACAGCTGAAGTAATCAGCAAAATGATGACCAAGTCAGGTATAGGGTGGAATACAAGCCGTCTAGAATGTAGCGTCGTCAGTTTATCTTCAATAATGATTCAGTGACAGATGCTGTGGATATACCGCGAATCTTCTCCAATGCCATCGACAATCACCAGCAGACGATGCAACTCTCTCTTCAGACACTACAGCCAAGCTACAGAGCAGACAACAATTCCAGTTATACTCGAGCTACCCGCTCTCATCTCGCATTCCAGTTCTCCGATCCCGCCGGCATTCAAGGTCTCTAGCTCCGGCCTCGCTCAAGTTCTCGGCCCCAGGCCTCGCACAGATATCCTCGTCTCAGCTATCACGTCACGTCATTACATTTCCAACATCCAAATGCTGTAATCTAGACTAAATTAAATAAGGGGAATAAACCATGCTTTTTGAACATCACCCAAATTCGTATATGTTAGAATGAGTCCTAGAAACTACCCTGGTGGTACTTCATTCGTAACCTCTTTCCAATCTGATGTCTCTACTCACAATGTAACCTTTTTGCTTCCAGAGATTCTCTCTAACCCACCTTTGGACTCTTTCAGATACACCAACTTGCTTTCCTAGTTTCAATAATAGTCTTTGTTGCAGGACCGTATCGAATACCTTCTGACCGTCGATGAATATGCAGTCTACCCATCACACACTCTTATGATTTATGTCATCTTGTAGAACTCCAGAAAGTGTGCCACACAGGATTTTTCCTTTAGTAAAACCGTGCTGGCGCACTGCGACAAATTTGATCTGTTCTAAATGTTTATCTCTCTAGCAACTAACTTCAGGGGATTCTTGTCAGTGATACTGGTCTGTAGTTTAATGGGTTCTGTCTTCCTTCTTTCTTGCAGATTGGAACCTCATTAGTCATTTTCCAGCAGCCGTGTATGTGTTTTACTAATCAACCGTTATTCATTGTGTCGGGGGACATGCAGCCAGTGTTCATACAAGTTAGGCTGATATAGAGGTCCTCCCCCACCCTTGCCAATGTCGAATTACTGACCCCACAACCATCTGACTAACTCCTGAGTACCCATTTACTGCTAGGTGAACAGAGCATTAGGTGATAGGAAATGTGTCCAACCATTTTTGCTTCGCCTGGGATTCTAAACCTGAATTCTCGATTATGCAACCCGTCCTCATAAACACACGTCCAATCTATGCACCCGCCAAATCCTGTTTTTTAACGAAAACGGCTCACAACTTGATGCAACCCGTCCTCGACTGAAGTCCATTCCATCCACCGGTCGACCCCACAGACGCATTCATAAATTTTAACATGGTGTTTATTCAAAACGGGACTTTTCTCAAATATAAATTAATATTATAATATATTAGCATATTGTGCATATATATAGGCATAGGTTAGGTGTTTAGATTCTGTTGGCGATTATTTGTAGTACGTGAGTGAAGCATTTACAGCGTTGTGGTTCGAACGAAATTCGTCATTGAAGCACTTGTTTCGGAAGTGTTCGAACGTCATCAGTTGTGTGTAAACCGTTTTTCATTCATAAACAGGGGGTTTGGCGGGCGCATGGAGTCACTTTTGGATCTTTGTTTGGAGGACGGGCTGTTTCGCTGACGACTTTTATTTGAACCACAATGCTGTAAATGCAGCCCCTCTTCATAAACAAAGGCCAAAATTGGTTCCGTGCATCCGCCAAACTCCCTGTTTATGAATGAAAAACGGTTTGCACACGACTCACAACTGATGACGTTCAAACACTTCCGGAACAAGTGCTTCACTGACGAATTTTGTTCGGACCTCAACGCTGTTAATGCTTCACCCACGTACCACAAATACAAATAGTCGCCAACAGAACCTAAACACCTAACCTAACCAATATGTAAATATGCACAGTATATTTTTTTATTTTATTTATATATACAAGAGTTCTTACATTCTTGTAAAGTCACTTACACCAATAGAGCTTCGGGGAGGTCCTTAATTCTAATTTTTTTCCAGAATACGACCCGCCAAATCGTTTAACAACCAAGTACCCAATGACTGCTGGGTGAATGAAGATTGATGATTGATGAAGATTAAGCCATCCAAAAGATGGCACGGGCATGAATAGCCCGTAAGTGGTGGCTCTTTTGAGCCATTACCAGTATCGAGAGCTGTTACTGGAGATCTGTGGAGGTGCGAATGCACCCTGCATGACGGGAGATGTCTCCCTTGTGAATGTGTTAAGATGAAGATGAAGCCACCCAAAAAGTGGCACGGGCATGAATAGCCCGTAAGTGGTGGCCCTTTTGAGCCATCACTAGTATCAATAGATGATACTAGAGATCTGTGGAGGTGCGACTCCACCCTGCGTGACGGGAGATGTCTACCGTCGGGTGAATGAACAGATGCGTATAGTTAAGGATTGGCGCCCAGTCAATTCTCCCCGCCCAGAATACGAAGCCAGGCCAAAGAGCTCGGGAAGCGCTAGGGTAGTGCTTTACCACTGCGCCACGGGGACTACATGTGCATGTCTAATATATAACAATATTAATTTTTATTTGAGAAAATTCCTATTTTGAATGAACAGCACTTAAAATTGTTGACTGCGTCTTTGGGTTTGACCTCTGGATGGAATGGACGTGGTCTGAGGACAGGTTGGATTGTACGAACCCTACTACTACCGGGACCCCAAATTTACTATTTACTTACATTAAAATTAATTATTTGTGCCTGCAAGGTCGAGCTGATAGCTCCAGACCCCGCCTTTCTAGCCGTTGCTAATATTGCTTTTTATTTTGCTATGCCTAATAATAAATAAATTATTTTATATGTAATGTGAATTTTATAACAGTGAACGCTATATAATATTACCGTATATATAATATAAATTAAGCAGGTGGGAGGTTTGGCGACAGTGTAGCTGGAATGACTCCCATATGTAGCGGTTTTCCCATAGAGTTGGCAGCACTGACTCTCTCTCCTCCGCGTCGACTCCTACCATTTTACCGAATTTGTTTAAATTAAAGTAGAGCCTTTCAGACAATAATATGTACAATTATAAAGTGTCTAGAAATCGTATTTACATATTTTAATGTTAAATATATCATATTAAAGGCTAAAGATCATTAGTAGACGAGTAGGATAATATCGGAGCTTGAGTGCACATCAGTCAGAAACCTGCGGGTGCGCAAAGAGGTCGTGTACGCCGTCTCCTCCATACCGGCCCAAATGTTTCTTAAAAAGAGATAACTAGTCGCCCAGAAGGTGAGCCATTGCTATATTATTACCCCGAGGATGAGTGTAGGTGCAGCAAGGGGCGCGTGGAGGTAAGTTGTAGGGTAGTAAATGTGTTGAGGTGTTGGGGTTTCCCGTGAGGGTGATGACGCAGCTGTGAGGAGCAGCTTCCGCCTCCCCCCCAGTGGCCACTCCACGCTCTTCCCGTCATTGTTTGTCTGCTCCGCGCCCTCACCTCTCTCTCTCTCTCTCCCCCCGCTGCCGCCCCCATGGTTACTGCTCCAGTGTGGGTATAGATGGTTGTGGAGCGTTGGAGCGGCCCGGGTAAGTTGAGGGGTGAAGTGTGTTAAGGCGAGTTAAAGTTATATGTGGGTGAGGCGTGCGGGAGGTGAAGCACCGGTTGGGGCAGGCGCGCGCTCCTCCCCCGGGCCTTTGTTGTTGGACCCACGCCACACTCCCCGACCCACGCTACACCTCCACCCACCTCCCCCCACGCCCACCTCCTCTCTCCCCACGCCCACCTCCTCTCTCCCCACGCCCACCTCTCACGCCCACCTCCCCACGCCCACTACCGCCCCCCGGAGCCTGGTCCCCGCCCGCCCTGAAGAAGCAGAGCGTGGGTGGCCATACTTGTCAGTTCTGGCCAAAGTTGCACCGTTATATTGATTTTTGCAGAGGTATCTTTTGTGGCAATGTCGCAAACTGCTGCTTGAATGAGTGGAATTTGTTTCAGGCCTCTTTGAGTAAGTTTGTGATGTGAAATACCCGAGGCTTGGTAAGTTGTCTTCACTTGTTTAGCTAGAATAATTCTACTAAAGCTTCTTATTTATTTTTCAGAATTATATATAATATTAATTATATAAAATTTGATTCTGGAAAGAAATCTTCAGGAAATGCATGAAAATTTTGTATCATGAAGATAAGCCTCAAATTTGGGTTAGAAGCTTAAAGAAACCTGTGTGAATCCCCCCCCCCCCCAATAAAGACTATATTTTAGCTATCATTTGTGGGGTCAAACGCACAGGTAATGCTCGACTACCAAATATAATAGTAGTGATTTAGACAGTAATACTGAGATAGGAAGAGAGATGTCGGTGCATCACACTCCTAGAGAGTATATGTAAAAACTGAACAAAAAGTTTTTTAAGTGAGGGTTTGGATATAGAGTAGCAATAACATTACTCAACATGGGCCATTCAAAACCTCTCAAATAATGTGAAATCACAATATTAGCAAACTCACTTAAATTTTTTTGAGGGAGGTTGAATGTGTTGCTTTATACTGTGTGAAAATGGTATGGCACCTGGGGGGGTTATAAAAATATGCAATGCCCTTATGTAGGGCAGAGGTTGTTGCTTGTTAATTCATTAGAAGTTGCCATTTATGTGGTTTGTAGGGCATAATTTACTGTTCAAAGGTAATTAAATGTATTTGTAGAAAAATCACAAAGTGGGACACATTAAAAACTGAATTATGGATGAGTAAATCTAATAGCTATATATATATATATAAAAATGTATATAAATTGTTTCCCATCAATGGACAAATTAGATGAAACAGCTGCACTGTATGAAAGAGCATTAACCCTTAAAATGTGTCATACATTGATGATTCCATACATTGTTGCTTCCAGTTGTCCTAGTTTTCATAAAAATGATGTAATATGGCTGTAATGTCTTATTTGGATACAGCGGAGTTAACCATACCCATGTAACAAAAATTCTGGAATGTTTAATTGCTTACTACAGTATATAATGAGTGTATCATGTACTAGCATCATGCAGTTATCAAATCACAATTTAGTTTCTCGCTGATGCTTGAATCTAATTCTGGATGGCGTTTGTGATGGGTTGTGGTATCGCAGCTATACTGAACCAAGATGGTATGGCTCTCCCTCACATAAATAATAAAAAAAATGTTGCTATTGGCCCTTGCAGTGTGTAAATTGCAGGTGGAAAAATGAAAATAATCAAATAAATAATTAAAACAATTTACCGAAATATTAATGAACAAAAATGGCACCTGAAAACACTTGGCGATCATGTAATGCAAAGGTGGACAAGATATGAAAATTTATACAAAAACTAAGAAATTCAACGAATACAAAGCATGAAGATAAACTGGTGTACTGAAGACTGCTACCATACTACCATGGCATCAGACACACGGTGTTGACTGAAGGCAGATGACAGGTGAGAGAGACCAAGGTGCTCCAAGAGCACTAAGAGAGAGACTGGCTCTCCAGGGAGGTGGTGCCCTTTATATAGTCCGGTGGTGATGACTCATCCGATGTCAACACAAGGTGGACATCTGGTCAACTAGCAAACTGCTCGTTTGTGACTGGCGGTGCCTTTGTGTTGAGCTGCACCACTGCTAGTTGAAGGCGGCTAACTGCTTGTTTGTGAAGGCAAGCTACCGGTTAGCAGAGGCGCCCAGCTTGCCTCTTGAGTCATACCAGGCTTTGCCAGGCCCTGGGGGGTACGGAGAGGTGGCAGGACTGATGACCAATCTGGGCTGGTTTAGAGGTAGACTTCCAGTGCAAAGGCATTGAAGGTGAGGGGAAAAGGCAGTTCCACTGCTATGCAGGGGATTCACAAGACACGTTACGAGACTAGTACTATTGAAGTGGGTTGCAAGACTCCATCTGAGTTCTTCATTTTTGTAAAGCCTGGCACGCATATTGTTTCAGGCAGGTTCTTAATCCTAATTTTTTCCCTGGAATATGACCTGCCAAACTGTTTAACAACCAGGTATAATTTATATATAATATAGGTGTACATATACCTATTCTCCTGTGTGTAATAATGGGTGTACGTAGGCCTATCACTTTGTAGGATTTTGCTGTTTTCTGGCCACCTTTGCTTGACACCTTGCCTATTTGAATATGGCAGAAGGGGTTTAGTGTCAATGAAGGAAATATGTAGATTGCCAGATTAGCTGTGCATGTCAAGCCTTTCTCAAGCTTGGGGAGTAGAACTCGACTCCATCAAGGCATGTTCTTGGTCCGACTCATTGAGGTGGGGTTTCACTGTGGTTGGGCCTCTCAGGTAAACCTTTTTAAGATCGTGATCCAGTTTATTGCGAGAAGCCTCAGAACAACACCTAGGCAGGGGAATTCTTATAAGATCCATCATTTAATTTGTTTAAGTCTTTGTATATGATATAATTATCCACGAGTGTTTCTCCATATACCTAGTCATATAACATTGTCTCGTACTAAATTTTTTTATCTTACTATGTGAACCTAACTCATTTAATACTTTAGGGACTGAATTCTAAGAGAGGTTAGAAATGAGGGTAAAGTCTAGTCAGATACTCTTGGTAATGTCCATCATATGATAGTTTAACCCCTGGGCAGTGCTTGTGTGTGATTATTGCCTGCAACACCGCCAGATGCAAGATTTTTTTTTCTTTTAAGATTGTTAAAATGTTTTTCATGATCATGGGGAAAATAATAAAATTGTAGGCGACACATTTTTGCTGCAATAGGGCGAGGAAGTCTGGCAAATTTGAGGTGCTGACAGTAAGCGTCCTGTGCTGGTTTCCACACGTGCTGTCAGACGGGAGTTGCCACAAAGATATTGCCTAACTATTTCAATGTCTGATTTTTCACTATTTTTGCAGTGATATTGTTCAATAATGTGTAGTGTGCTATATTTATATAATAAAATGTGTGGTGTGCATATTAGTGATTCAATTATGTTTATAAAACAATAAACCAATAGTTTTGCTATTATTACACTATATACACATGCACATTATATATGAGTATCTGCATGTTTTGTTCACAAAGTCATGTCATGTGCATCTACCATTCTGAGTGCCAGGTTCCTGTGACATTGAGTACTTCAGTATTCAGAATGCTGAGAAAAAATATGGCATCAAATAATATTGCTTGGGTTGCATATGATAATTTAGTATCAAATAAGAAGCAGTAAATATTTATTTTGGGGTTTTTAATTAATGTACTGTATAATGGTAGAATTAAGATTTGTCCTGTTGTACAACAAAACTTCAAGGTTCCATTCTAAATATTTATCTTTTCTGAATTTCAGCAGCCATGGAGGAGCTACTGTCGTTAAAGTGGAACAACCATCGCACCACTTTCATTCATATTTTGGGGGTTCTCAGGGATAAGGTAAATAAATGTTATTGTTGGTCTAATAAAATATTATGTATGGTTTTTTCATGGTTTTTGTAATTGTTATTTATATACTATTTATTTGTTTTGTGTTTTATATATGTATGTATATTTTTTATTGTGAAATTAATATCTGGAACTTTATGAAATTTATTTGAAATCAGTTCTTTTTATCTCTTAACAGAAAAATCTTTCTTTTCCAGCAAGCGTATACGGATGTCACTCTGGCATGTGATGGCAAATTCTACAGTGTGCACAAGTTGGTGCTTTCAACGTGTAGTGATTACTTCTGTGCCATGTTTGACAAGACTGCTTGCAAGAGCCCTGTTATAGTGTTAAAAGATATTAAGTGTGAGGACCTAGAGGCCTTGCTAGATTATATGTACCTTGGTGAAGTGAATGTGCGACAAAGTGACTTAGCTTCTTTAATTAAGGCAGCAGAAAATTTGAGAATTAAAGGCCTTGCAGTACCTGATGATGAACCTCCAAATAAGGGCATGGGGGTAGCACCTCCACGGACAGAACCTGTTAGGAGAGATGGAGGAAGTGGTAGTCCACCAACAAAGAGAAAACGAAGAGATGAAGGCGAAGATGGCAGGGAAGATGTTAGACCGCCTCCGGCTCCACCTTCATCAGGTGGCTTGCATACACCCCCACCTGCATCTAGACCAAAGAGCCCTGTTAGCCAGCGGCTGAGCCCTTCACCTCATAGAACCTCTCAGGAGTCACCTGTAGCTGAAGACCGCACTAGCCGTCCCCTTTCTTCTCCAGCAGAACCCCCTCCAGCATCACGGGCATCTTCACAACCCCCTGCTCAGTCTGCATCTTCTCAACCCCCTATTAATCAGTACACCGATGACACTCCATCTTTTGTAAAGGTGGAGATGGAGGAAGAGCGTCCTGATGATATGCATGGGGATTCGTATGATTTAAGTGCAGATGGCTATAAAGAAGAAGGGGATGATTCGGGGAGTGGAATGAACAATGATTTACCCGAGTTCCTACAAGCAGCTGCCTCTGGAGCCTTAGGCAGTGGTGCTGCATCTTATGCCCATCACTCCTTTGCTGGCCCTTCTGGCTATCAGCCGGTAAGTCTAGTTTAGTTTTTATATTTTTTTAATGTTGAATATTGGTGTTGTGTGCATAGTTATTTAATGTATGGTTTTATCAGTGTGTAAATATTTATTGTGTTAACTCTTGTTTCATGATAGGGGGATCTGGCTGGCTGGCAGGGTGATGGCTCATCTTTAGGGTTTCCAGCTCATCTAAACTTCAGCACCTCAGACAGTTCTAGTCAACAGAATGCACCCGGGGTAAGTGTTATACTAGTCACAGTCTATTCTCATGACCACCCACCAGCCAGTAGTATATTATGATTAATGCAGTTGGAAGTGAAAGTATTATTTGAAAATAAGTTGCAGGTTTGCTGTATGATGCTTGAATTTGATGCTTGTGATTTTAATTTTATCATTATGAATCTACAGAGGACAAAGTGTAAGGTATCTAGTATGTTCAGTTATCAAGATTAGTACAGTATTTATAATTGGCATTTAAATCTTTGTTATACGAGTGGAGTTTTTTACGCTATTCCTGTAGCTCTTGGTACACTGGTGCCTCAAATTTTGTTAATGACACATTGGGTTAAACCCATATTAATATGCATTGGGCATTAATTCCTACATTTGGTACCTGTGGGTAATTTTACCTAAGTTTGCAAGTGATTTTTTTTAGAAGAGCTCTTACCTACTGCTCTAAAACTTTTATTCCTCTCTTATGGCAGAGATTCATATTTGAATTATGCTTGAAATACGTAATAAATTAGAATGTTAACTGAATAATGTACACTGCAAGAGATGAGCACTGACAAATGATGAATTTTGAGTTTAATAGCTTTCACAATGAACCTATTAGAAATTTTGTCTAGACTTAACACTTAACACTAAACACTTAACTTCGGTTTACTTGTATTAACATAAAGTAACGTTGTTACTTGCTAAATGCCATAAAAGTTACTCGGAAATGACTATAATAGATTTTCATATGAAAATATAGCTATTAAATGGACAAAAGGTTTATACAGTAGTAGCAAGTAAAAGATTTATGCTGAGGTTGGAGATGGACTTCCTACCTGCCATTTCAATGATGGGACAATTGGTATTTAAGTTTGACAAATGTTAGACCTGAACATGTCATTATATAGGTGACCATGAAAATCATGAAAGATTAGATTTGCGTGTGTAGTTTGTATTTTAAGTGTTTTAGTAATTCACAGTCCTCCAAGGTTGAATGATTGTCATGGTGCAGCAAAGTATAGCCTATTGGCATTAGTAATAATATAATTATATATTGTCACAAGGTTGCTGATCATGATATTTACTGGCTGTGTGTGGTTCATGACAGATGTTTCCTCACCAATCGAGACACTAGAGACCAGACATATCAGTAGAAATATTTTTGGATATAAATTATATATCACATGCTTTCTTTTAAGGGTATATGCAAAATGAGTGCTTGTTATTAGGCACACAGCAAGGTACTGCTTGTTGAAGGTTGCATTATAGGACTGGGATGTTGGGAATCTCCACGGAACTGTTAGTTTTAAGACATAGCTGAAAGAAGACAGATGAGGGTAAGTGGTTTGATTCTGTGAATTGTCTGGCTTCTAGTGCCATGACAAAATATGAAACTTAAATATGGATAGTCCAATGAGCAATGTGCTAATCTTCTTGGTGAGGCTTCATCTTAAAGAGATCAGTAATCTCATTAAAGTTTATAATAAAATCTGTATTAAACACAGCTCCCTTTATAATCATGTGACAATTTTTATGTGGCTAAGTGTTATTCCCAGATTGAATAATGTTATATTATCAATTCTCTTGAAATCTAAGATAGTCACTGTACTCTTGCAGTTGAAAGTGGTTGTTTACACATGTGCTTTTGTGTTTTTGTTGATTTTTTTTAACGACATAAGGATAATTTGGATTGCTTTGGGCATGACAACTATGTAGTTGAAATTAATCTTCTTCCTTCTTACTAGAATCCATATATCACTGCAGTTCATATTATTTATAACAAGCTGATTTGAAAGAATTAAGAAAACTTGAACACTACTGTACTTTCTTGCATTAGCTATTTTAACAAGTATTTTGTTGGGTTATCGTTGTTCTATCCAAATCTTTCAGTAGCATGAATTTTGCTACGAGTTATTGAATTTTTGTGGCTCTGGTAATTTTTACTTCATAATAAAGTATTGTCAAATTGGGCATTAAGTGACAGCTTCAGGTTCGGTACATAAGTTATTAAACAAAAATAGTGTCTAGTTGTTCTAGAGGCATAATGTAAAGGTTACCTTAATTTCGTAATTGAGGAATGGGTTAAAAATTTGAATAATAGGCTGCCTAGTGGGTTGTCTTGTTAATTGAATTGTGTAGGATAAATTTTCTGAATTGGTTTATAGAAGTATTCCTGACTAGTTTTTTTTTTATTTTATGAAGTATAGATCGTAGCTTATTTGTTTCCGATAATGATATGGAACGTTTTCACATGACAAAGTTGGGTTTTTAGTATTTTTTTAATTTTAATAATGTTTAGCTAAATGCTTTTTGTAATGTGCTTGAATACTAACTATAGTTTGATTAAAGTCATTTTGGGTTTGTCTTGCTACCCGGTAATGTGCTAGCTACAGGGCTTTGTTTTATATGCACATTTAGTTAATAGGCAAACTTTTGAAAGGGCAGGTATTGTATCATGTATACGAGGGAGCTGTGATCTTTCATGATTCAACTACGATGCTCATAACAGTTTACTGATCTCAATATTTTAGTCACAGATAATGTGTTGTGTCCAGAGCTATGCCATTGCGATTGAATTAAGTGAGCTGTTAACTATTGAAATAGCATTTGTGTAAATAAACTATGCCAGGCACAACACTTTATTATGTTTATACTGTATTTGTAGAATAATGTGTGTATGCATGTGTGTGTACATAGGTATGTTGGATATATAATCAAACTAAATATTTATATATATGTATATATATATATATTTGTGAGTGTGTGTGTGTTTGTGTGTGTGTAAACTGTGTTTTACCCCAGTTAGTGTCATTTCGATTTTCCATCATCAGAAACAAAATTTAACACCAGAAAGGCAGTGTGTCCTATAACCCCCACCCCAACATAAGATAAAGAAAACTCTGTGGAAGCCTTTGGCACTTAAAGAAAATGAAGTACAGTATATAAGGGCTAACTTAAATAATGTCAACAAACACTAATTATACTGTACTAAAAAATTTACTTTTTGTTTACTGAAAATAGTAGCATAAAATACAGTACTGTACATTAAAATTATAATGCAATACTGAATAATATAATACAACTTACGGCTATGTAGACAAATAATCAAGTGAATGTAGCTGCTCGAGAAAAATGAATCTCTCCAGCTAATCGTGGACATAAACAAGGAAGTTCTAAACTTGATATTATTAGTAAAAATTCCCTCGGAGAAGAAGGAATGGAAGGCAAAATACCTATTAAATACCTAATTCTAATAAGAGGCCAAAGAAACAAAGGAAGACAATATAGTTAGAAACAAAGCTAAAAGTGCTAGGTAGGTATGACAAGTGAGTGAGCAAAAAATGACTAGCTAATATCTTTTCCCATTACTTTATGAATTTAACTTACTTAACATACAAGGACAATGAGGTTTTTGGTTTCATTTACTGGCATATCATTTTCTACTTAAGGGTTTTCAGGAAACTAATCCTGAAGTTTAAGTTCACCTGTATATATATATATATAATATATACTATATTTACTGTATGTGTGTATATATATATATATAATATATGGGTGTATGTATGCATATGTATACACATGTATATATGTGTGTGTATATGTATGTACACACCAGAAGGAATACAGAATTATATGAACATGTTTGCAGATGATGCTAAGATACTGGGGAAGATAGGCAACGCAGATGATTGTAATGCCCTTCAAGTTGATTTAGATAAAATAGGTGCTTGGAGTGACATGTGGCAAATGGAATTCAATGTGAATAAATGCCGTGTTATGGAATGTGGAATCTGAGAAAATAGATCTCGCAACTTACAAATTGTGGTAAGGAATTAAAAAACTGTAATAAAGAACGAGATCTTGGGGATGGTTTTAGATAGTAAACTAGTCACCAGAGGCACACACACAAAGATCATTGTAAGAGGAAAGTATGCATTGCTTTCCATCTCCAGACTTACTTTTAACTACAGGGTTGGTGAAATATTAAAACTTCATGACTTGTGAGACCAAATTGGAATATGCAGTAGTTGTAAGGTGCCCAAATCTCAAGAAGCAAATCAATAAACTGGAAAAGGTGCAAAGGCTTGCTATAAAATGGCTTCCAGAACTGAAAAACAATAGTTATGGGGAGAGACTAAAGGCATTAAGTATGCCAAGGCTAGAAGATAAAAGAAAGAGGTTATATGATCAACATTTACAAAATACTTACAGAAATCTATGAAATTGACAAAAAGGAATTCCTGGAACCAGCAACTTCAAGAGCAAGAGGACACAGATTCAAGCTAAGGAAACACAGGTACTGAAAAAATATAGCATGGCAAAGGTGCCGAAAAGATATAACTTGGCGTTTATTCGTATTGAATTACATTTTCCACTTGATGCTACAGTATAAGCACGTATTTTATCCAGATCAATTTTAAGGGCATGACAATCATGTCTCCTGTCTTTCTCTAGATCTTAGCATTATCCGTAAACATGTTCATGTAATTCTGTATTCCTTCTGGTAGGTCATTTATGTAGACAACGAACATTACTGGTGCAAGAACTAAACCCTGTGGTACTCTGCTAATAACACTCCTCTAGTCAGATACATTGCCTCTGATTACTGCCTTTATATGTCAGTTAGGAAAATTTTCCCCCATGTTAGAAGTCTCCCTTGTCACCCACCCAGTATGTTCCAGTTTCCAGAGCAACCTCTTGTCTGAGACTGTCAAAAGCCTATCTTGTATAAAAACCATATTGTCTGTTCATCATTATGTCATTACTCTCCAGGTGTTCTTCCCATTTGGTTTTAACTTTTTTTTTCTAGTGATTTGACAACCACACTTGCTAAAGATATGGGACGGGTCTTTAATTTTGAGGGTCTTCTCGGTTACCATTTTTATAGATTGGAACTATGCTTTTTTTCCATGTATTCATGAATATTCCTGTGTGTGTGTATTTACCTAGTGTGCTTACGGGGGTTGAGTGCTGCTCTTTCGGCTCGCCTTTCAACTGTCAATCAACCGTTTCTTCTACTA